TTTGCTTTGCTGGATATCACTGATGGTGCAGGGCTTGCAGGTGACCAGCTCGGTTTTTGCGTCCGCGAGACTAAAGAACCAAAGCGCCACCGCGCTTGCGAGTCATGGCGGGACAGATCCCTCGACCAGCCAATGTGTGAAGCTTATTACAGATCCCTCGGGCATGCGGGCCAGAGGACCCCAAGCCAATACGCCATGGTGAAAAATTCGCTGCATGGCACTGCATGGCGTCAAAGTGGTCTGACTTAGGTGGAGGTCACAAACACTGGGACAGTGTACCACGTCCAAGAAGATGGCACCAAGGTGTGGTCCATCGCCGTCCGTTTGTTCCATCGGAACACGCCGCAGGTCATTGCAGGGTCCAGGCGACCAGATGGAACCTACCGAAAGCCTGTGCGCGTGCGGGCAGGCAAATCGTGTTTCCGCATGTGGTGAATTTGAAATGGCAACTACTAGCAACAAGAAGCTACTAGGTTGGAGGCCATCGCTAGTAGGCTGGAGGCCATTGCTAGTAGGTACTAAGTAGCTGGACCACGGTGCATAGACGGCCCTGGTGTTTCGTGCGTTTTTAAGCGTTTGTGTGTTCGACTTACAGCTTCAGGGCCAATGGGGAGAGTGTTAGTCAACTGGTGTTTAAGTATGTTTTATGCATTTTCGATGCAGGCATGGCACTGATTCATGGTTATACACTTTCTTGGGGGGGTGGGGAAGGCAATTTGCATCATCACTTGTGAAGATGAAGCGACTGCCCTTGCACACTTGTACACTCGATTCCGGAAATTGCAACATATAGGCGTGTGGATGACGACACGGAACGTGAAAACTCGATTCCACACAAACGAACAGATGAAACCCCACAATGTCGTGCAGATGAAACGACAGTTCGTGTAAACGAAACGGACACTCGAACACAACAATGTTTGCAGTGTCATGGCTCGCAGCTTTCTTGTTGCTATTTCTTTTTGGTTTTGCTGTGTGTTTCCTTTGTTGTTCACTTCCTTGTCCTTCGTCATAATTTGGGATATTTGGGGAGGTCCATATCCGTCGAGTTCTTCATTATGCCAGCAAAGACCCCAAACAGCTTCAACAGTTTTTTTGCTGGCCAATGTTAGTGGTAGCGTTTGTATTGGGCGTGGCATGTAAACAAAAAGTGTTAGAAAACAACAGTTCCTGTTTCCTGAGGTCACATGTTCAAACACGAACGGATAATTACTATATATATATATGGCTGTATGTCATGAGAAGTCCGAGAATGATATCAAACGCTGCATCAGTGTTGCATTCATAGCCACGCGAAAACGGCGTGAGCACAGCAAGATGACAAGAGAAGGTGCCAGCGCGGTCAAAATACAGCAGGAAGAAAAGTGGAGGCAGCGCGGCCAAAGGACAACAGCAGGACAGCTGCTGCAAGCACCAGGAGGACCAGAGGAGGACACAGGGTTGGCCAGTGCGGCCAGAGGACAAAAGGAGGACAACTGCAAGCACCAGCAACACAACAGGACAAGCCGGACACAGCGTCCAGGAGCGCGGCCAGCCACTGTGGCCAGCTCCTTTTTCTTAGAGAGAACCCCAACAGTAAACTGCTTGGTGAAAAAGCAAAGTGGCTTGGAGCCCTGCAAAAAAGAAGCCAAGCGCACTTCTCACTGTAGCGGCACTCACATTTCACACTCTCCCCAGTCAGATTGAGACCTGTTTGATACAGCTTCCAGGAAGCACCAGAAACCCAGTCAGGCCAAAGGTTTACAACGTCTCCAGGGTCTAAGAATCATGACGAAACCCCCACGGCCGTTTGCGCACCGTGGACCTGCAAAGATGCAAAGAAGTCTGTTTGGCCGTTTTTTGTTGTGAAGCTGCAGGCTACACTCCTCTTGAGGAGAACTTGTACAAAGGTCCAGAGGCGCAGGGGCCAAGGAAAGATCATGCAAGGTGTGTATGATGCCACTGCATGTCATTTCTCACCCTGAAGTACTGGGCACGATTGGTTTGCCTAATCGAAACCTCAGAGATGCCAACAAGCACAGGTGCAGCAGCGAGCACAAGCAAGGCCACCCCCCTTAGTCATCCATATTTGGTGCACGGCTCTCACATACTGTGTGAGTGCGATGACTTCCTTTCTTTTTGGATTTTTTGGATTCGATTGGCTCAGGGGAATTCCTGGGCTAGGTCCTGTGGAGACGCAGCGCCCTTCAAGGATTCGGGACTGGAAGGCCAGTGGTGTCGATAGAATCAAAAGATTGCATGCAGGAGTGGATGCATTCCCGGTATGGTTGCCAACTCAGTTGCATGAGCTCAGACTCAAAGCAAAGTGAATCAAAATGTGATGTTGGAATAGTATGGAACAGTATGTCTCCATTTTTGCATGTGCCGAAATGCATGTTTGAACGTGTGTATTGTTTCACACATGCAAAAGTACGACACAAGCTCCAAGCCAAATGTCTCAAGGCACCTGAAAAGGAGCCAAAGGCAAAGGCAAAGGCTGGTTTGAGCCTTGCTACAGAATTGTGGTCACACATATGAGCTCTTCCGCCCAGCATTCAGGCGCCTTCAACGCCCAAAGCAGAGGGAGAGAAGCCCAAAGCAAAGGCAGCCCCCAAAGCAGACGCCAAAGCAAAGGCTGCGCCAGCCGAGCCCGTGTGGGACCCAGCTTCAATTTATGACAACAAATTGAGATCACACATTGGTCCAGAGAGGCTAAGCCAGAGAATCGCTTGAGAAATTTGCGTGGCCTGGACGCAAGATGACAAACTGAGTAATTAATTAGCTTTGTATAAGTTTGTTGGAGACCCGACTCTCGCTGTATATCTCAGTGTCAAAACAAGAATGTTACCCTGCAAACACAGAAACTTCCAGGGGGATGGCGTTGTTTGTGTCTTTATTTTAATATATATATTATATATATATATATACAGAGAGAGAGAGAGACATACCCAGACACACATATATATATATATATTACTGGAGCACTTCGTGTCCCAAGAGTTTTTTGTGTTTTCCGGCCGTGTTTGTTCGACTTTTGAGGTAAAAAGCTCGCAGAGATCAACTCCTTGGAGGCTGCGTCTCACAGTTCGATTTGATCGAAGTCGACCCAAACAGAACGGACCCTGCGACCATACGTTTTCACAAATGTTGGTAGATTTCGGGGTATGTCAGGCCCTGTCAAGCGTCCCTTTTTTGGAGGGGTGTGAACGTGATTCGGATTCCTCATTGTCGAGATCCTGCTGGTTGTCGGCGTTGGCAGGAGCGAGCAGCAAGCGACCTTTCTGAGGCCTGCAAGACGTGTCAACATGACCTAGCAAAGCCTGCGATAGCCGCAGGAGCAGAAGCAAAAGATCTCCCGGAAAGACGAATTGCAAAAAGAGGTGCGATTTCCCACCGAAATAATTGAATTCTTTGATATTCTTGAACACTTGTTCCAGGTGGAAGATTTGGAAAAGGAAATCGCTGAACTTCACATATAGCCGAAAGAAAATAATTAATGGGTGGTTCAATTCCTTGCACAATTGATGAAAATCGATAGATGACGCAGCAATGTGTATGTTAAACGAAATACGATAATTGGAATGGAATATATTATAAATATAGAAATAAGTATCACGCTAATGGAAATAAAATGATGATATAATATCTAATATACAAAAATTATCTATTAATTATTGGGTTTAAAATATTTTTTTGCCGATAAAAAATACGACATAGATTATATATTAGTATGTATTTATTGGTTTAAAATGTTTATAAAAATGTTTATTTATTTAGATTTGATATGATGATTTAGTAATTTAAAAATTGGAATTAATGAAATACGATTATTTAATTTTTGAAGAATTGATATGATTGGACGATTAAATTATATATAGGAAGATTGATTTTTGAAATTAATAATAGATAATACTAGTTATTTCGGCAAAAGAATTTATATAGTGGATTTAAGGTATATATTTAGAAAACTTTAGAGATTTAGATGTATTGGGGTTTATAGAGGTGATGATGTGATGAAATGAAGGTGGATATTAATGAATGTATTTGTTACGAAATTTATATTTCGATGTTTATTGTATAAAGCATTGTATTTGTTACGAAATTTATTCGTTTAAGTGTTCTATTTGCGAGAAAATTTTAATTTAGAAATTTATTACGTGTTGCGATCGTTATGAAATTTAAATTTTTAAAATGTTATATTTAATCGAAATTTATTTTCGAATTTTTTAAGTGTTAATGTATGTTTCGAAATTTGTATTAACGAAATTTATATATTGTATTTATTACGAAAATTACATTTTATACGACATTATATATTTTATATTCGCCAAAATTTGCATTTCGAAATTTATTAAATATTGCGTCTGTTACGAAATTTATATTTCGAGGTTTTAGGATTTGCTACGAAATTTTGCATTTCTAATTTAATTAAGTGTTATATTTGTGACGAAATTTGCATTTCGAGAATTACTAAATGGTACATTTATTACGAAATTGAATTTTTATGATATTGACAACAAGTTAGCCCGCGCACCACCTAAGCAGCTTTCTCCATCATGGCGGGCTAAATGCGACCTTGAGTGCGGTAGGAACTACGGCCCCTGTACATCGAGCCGGATAGGCGGGGTGGATTCGGGATCAACCATGGACATGATAGGATATATGGATTCACAGCACCCAGTATTTTCTTTGATCCCGAATCGCCGGATGTCGGCATTGCTTTGCCCAGCACTGCGAGCCTCCGCTCGCTTCTTCATCAGCTCTTCGGTGGGCCGGATGCTAAAACGCCCCGAGTTGATTAACTCGTACAAAGCGGCGTTGGAACCAAGGACCTTGGTTAGGCCGTCTGCCGGCATAGCTAAGTGATCTACCCATTTGACCTGTCCTCCAAGTTCCTTTAGATCTTGGCGGATGATCTGGATTTCTATTGCGGTCCTTTTGTCCTGTCCGCCTAGATAGTCCTTGGACAAATGGTCGTACAGCGATTTCGCGTCGACCACCGCGAGAGATTCCTGCAGGCCTCACTCACTCAACTCAGAGCTCATCACCAGGAGCTCCTCACCCTCCAGCCGGCTGCGCCACACTTTGATGTTGAAGGTGCCGTCAGTCAACTCCTGCACCATCACCATGATCTATAGCAACTCGGCAAGCCTCCTCGACAGGCTCTGTATCTCTGCAGCTAGAGTCGAATTGACAATTCGCTGCAGCTTCCCTGACCTCCAGGCCAAGACATTCGTGGTGACTGCTGCTCCATCGCGGAGGTTGTTCTCGTGGGCGAGGACCAAGTGCCCCCCCTGGGAGTGAAAGCCCGCATTGGCAAATGAAGCGTCGGTCACGACGCTGAGCCGCATCTTTTTCAGTGGTTGCACCTTTAGGCTCAGCTCAGAGTGGGCCTTGATGTCTGTCACAACCTGGTTGAGCTGCAGGATGTCCTCGACGGTCAGCTTGGAGAGCTTTGATGCGATCAAACTTGAAGGTCCGGAGGCGTCCGGTCTCCCCTCTCTGCTCAGCCAGTGTTGAGTGCGCCGCAAGTGGCTCTGGCAGCGCTGATCTCGGCCTCGTTGGCCATCTCTTTCTTCTGGCTCCTTCGCCCCTTTTCCAAGTCTACCGGGTGAAGTCTTTCCTCAATGAACTTCCTCATGTCCACCAAGAAGCCGCCATCTGGTAGCTAGCGAACTCGGCGATCATTAAATGCGCACCCGTCCTTCTCGTTGGCCAGTTGCACGTACTTGCCAAAGACATACTTCTTCTTCAACTGCTCCATTCGGTCGTGGTGTTCTTGGTGCCCCGACCGTGAACAGGTCGTCCACTTCGATGGCGATGGCCCCCCAAAAGACGTTTGCGTGTCCGGTCGTACAGCTTCATGATGCAGGGGTCCAGAGCGGACATCTCGTATCCCAGAGCCTTCAAGTCTTCTGTGAGGGATTTCCTCCAATGTAGAGGGGCATCAACTAGCCCGTAGCATCCTGCGATGATCTGAACTATCTGCTCTGGATGCAAGCCGCTCACTCCCTCCTTGGGTTGCTGGAAGTATAGCCGTCCTTTTGGTCGATGAAGCGGCTGGCTCTGGCAAAAGGCGTTCTTTAGATCTCCCACCGTGGCCTTCATGTTCTCGTTGGCGGCGATCTGCAGGAGGACGTTGAAATTCACCGTATTTAAAGTAGGAGAGAAGCGCTCCAAGTCCAGGATGTCTGGGTCCAGGTCGCCCCTGATGCATAGCCGGGATTTCTTCATGGCCGGCTCCCCGGGCTGTTCTCCAGGCTTGTATCTTCTTGCTATTTTTGTTGGCAGTATGCGGTCTTCTTGACCTTGCTGCTTCAGCTCTTCTCTGATTTGTCGGGACTCTTCTAGGCCCAACACCTTCACCGCCCCGCTCTGGGTGACCTTATTCCACTCGGAGAGGTCGGAGATCTTCCATTCTTCTTGATCCTGTGGGCTTTCTTTGCTGAGGCTGACTTCATCTTGACCTTTCTTCTCGGCCACATAGTTCTTCGCTTCCTTGATCTCCTTGAGGTAGAACACGGTTTTGCCTTTCCACCATTCATCTAGACTCCTCCGTTGGGGCGTCTGCCAGTCATCTTCTTCCATCACCCATTCGTGTGCCTTTCTTACATGCGTCTCTCGACGCTCAGTCAGAAAAGTCCACGGCAGCGGGGCGTCGGAGTTGAGCTTCGGGTCGAACTTGGCCTTCCTTTTGCGTCGATGGTGCCTGGTCAGCGTGCCAACCTTCCAGTCCAGCGACCACTCATCTTTCTCTGCCCTGGTTTTGGCTAGCTGCCTGATCTTCGTCTGTCTGGTCTGACTCTCCTCCTCCAGAGCCTCTTCAGCTTCAGCTAGAAACCATTCCTGGTCCTCAAAGTAGGGGGCGATGTGGTCCTGTCTGGCCCTCTGTTGCCATCGATAGATTGGCCCTGATGTTGGACCTGGCACTCCATCCAGCCGATTTGCATCCAGTTCGGATTGCCTCAATGCTTCCTGCACCTCATGTGACCTCGGGTCTATCGGAGGTCGGTCCACGTTCACCGGCGGCGTCTCTGGCACGCCTCCTGGGAACCCAGGATGATGTCTGGCCTCAGCTCTGCTTGCTTCGCTGTTGGCCCTTGAGAGAGGTGCTTCTTCTTGTTCTGGTTCGTTGAGGGATCTTCTTCTTTTGACTTGGCCGGCTTCTTCGGGATCTTCTTCGTGCTCCCCCTCGATTTGTGTAGGAGTGTATTCCACTTCTTCTACGGCTTCGTCGAACCGGAGGTGTTGGTCTCGTCTTCCTTGTTGTTCTCTGTCTTCTTCTCCTTCACCTTCCTCCGGGGGAAACTCCTCTTGACTCAAGTCTTTGTATCCCAGCCGGTGAGACCCTCTTTTGAGCTCTTCGATCAACTCCTGACACTCTTGCACCACCGCTTCGATCCCCATCTTCTCATCGTTGGTGGCAGGGCGGCATTGTTCTCGAGCGACCTTCCAGAGCTCACCCAGCATCGATACCCAGAGGTTCGCTCCATCTGGAGCTATGACTACCCCGGGGCCGACCCATCTTGCCTTTGTTGAGAGTGAGGCGTCATCGACGGGTCCTCCGTGTGTCCGCTTCTTCATGCGAGGTACTCGAAACACGAACACATACTCCCCGGGTTTGTAGTCCACCCACACTCGTGGACGTGCTCGAAGGGCTCGCTTCAGGGTGCTCTTGGCATTGTGCTCGCAGAATGCCTTGTGTGCGATGTTCCGCATGTGGTGCAACTTTTCCAGGTCATCGGTGATCACCCCGTTCAGCAGCGTTGGGTCTATTGCCTCATCTGATATGATTGACGTCGGCAATCTTGGCCACTGTCCGATCTGACGTTGAATCGGTGCGAAGCCAGATCTATTGGAGTACCTGTTCTTGGCCTGCTCGACCTCGACCATGAGCTGCTTGAGATCCTTGGTGCTTTGAATCACCACCTCACTTCTGGCCTTCTCCAGGAGCTCCTTGAAGAGCCCTCCGTGGCGTTCCGTCTTCCCTTGCTGCCAGCGTGCTTTGGAGGCGATCTGGTGGATAACGATCCCTTCGGCAGCCGCCTTTTGGATGAACTCGCCCAAGAACTCTCTGCCAGCATCGCAAGTGATGACCTCTGGATGTCCGAAGGTCCTGGCCCACGTAGACATGTAGGCCTCCCATACCTCGCTCGGATTCTTCCCCAAAAGGACCTCGCACATTTGGTAGTTGGTGCCCCAGTCCAAGATGTTGAGAACCGGGACAGTCTGCTTGCTTCCCGTCTCCGGGTGCCGGCACATAGAACAGATCCAGCCCCAGGACCCGGTTGGGCTGGTAAGCCCTTGGCAAGGCAGTCGGTCGTGGTGCTTTGGGATGTCTCTTTGACTCACACACACATCGCACTTGAACTTCTTTGCAGCCCACTGAACAATCTCCCCTCGCACCCGAGCTGCGCGAAGAAACCTGATGAACTCTCTGTCCTGGGGATGTCCGACCGCTCGATGCACTCTCATCACGGCCTTCTTCTCCTCCTCCGTTGGGTTGTAGTCTCCGGGGCCTTCATCCGGCACTGGATCGAGTTCGTCCTGGGCCTCTTCTTCGTCCTCGTCCTGATCTTCTTCCATGGCATAGGTGGAGATGCCGTTAAGGTGCTTGAGAATGCCGTTCGAGATCGCCTGACACAGCCTGTCCGGGTACACTTGAGCCAGAAGCGGCCTACCATTCTCCAATGGGACGTGGAAGTGGCTCTTGTCGCACTTGACCTCCAGGGCCTCCAGAACCGGAGGCATATTGGAGAGCCACCTTGTTCTCTTTCTGTTCAAGCCAGTACCGTCCACGTTCAACCCGAACATGCACTAGTCGCACACGACGGTCTGGACTCCGCGGCTGGCCGCCAAAGACTGCAGTTCGGGCTCTTGCCATGAGGTAGCCCCGTCTGGATGCTCAAAGAGTATTGCCCCTCCTCTTCTCAGCTGCCAGCGCAGGACAGCGATGGCCAAATGTAGATGTTCTCGTCCAGTTTGAAGGAGGTGCACTCTTTTCTTTGGGTCCATTCGACCCCAGTTCACTGCCTGCATTCGGCTGAAGGCCTTGCATGGGGGACACGCCAGGATCACTTCTGGCTGCTCTTCTCTCAAAGCCTTCCACATGGCCTTCCGTTCTTCTGGTTTGCTCAGATCCCATCCGGTTTGGAGGTCAAAACTGGTGCCCACATCATAGCCTCTCTTCCTCAGGAGCTTGGTGATGCGGGGCGGACAAAAGACTTCCGAGAGGACTTTTCCGGCGGCAGGCATCTTCTTCATGGCCGTTGACAACATCTGCCGCTCCTTTCTCGAAAAGTGGGAGCTTTTGGAATCCTCCCACATGTCTTGAAACTCGCCTTTCCGGGTGTGCCTCACCTGGACATAGATCTCGACGGCGTCCTTCGGGATGATGTGGGAGGCTTCAATCCAGTCACCGGTGGCATTCTTCATCCAGTAGTTGCCATAGGTCTCCACCAGCGGGTTGCTCCCCTGCTGAGCCCTCCGCGCCCAGCGAATGGCGCTGCTGGTGCAACGCCGGGTCCACCCGTCTCCTAGCCGTCGAACTCCTCCACATCCACCACTGGCACGTTTTCCGCTCTGCTGCTGTTCACCGACACCTGACACCAGCTGTTCCCCACCGTAGGAGCCGCCGCTGAGGCCTCCCTCTTCGGACTCTTGGACCTTCTTGGGTTCAGGGATGAAGCTGCCGTCTTCACCTCGTCGAGGTCGACCTGGTCCTTCTCGTCGATCCATTCGAAGAGGTCGCATCGGCGTTGGACGCATTTCCAAAACATGCGTCCCTTCCTCGGTCCATCCTTCTTGACGATCAAGGCCTCGGCCGGGCGCCCGCACAGGCAAAGCTTGCTCGGTCTTGGTGGAGGTGATCTCCTGGAGCTTGCTCGAGGGTCGTGAGTCGTGTCCGGATTCTTAGCCTGGATGAGCATCTGCATGAGCTTCTCCTGTCGGATCTCCTGCTCGCGGTTCGCCACCGTAGCCCTCTTCACCTCCTCCGCTATCTGTTGCAGCTGGACCGCGTTCATCTGAGATTGCTGAACGGAGGATGCGGCCTGCTCGTTCCTCAGCTGCTGAAGCATGATCTGGGCATGAGTGCCCATCTCGACTCTCAAGTCCTGCTTCATGGCCATCAGGGCCTCCAGGGTTTCTCCCCTGGATGGAGGTGTTGCCATCATGGCATCGTCCATGATCTTGCCCTCGCTCCTCATCGGTGTCCTTGGTGCTGGAGTGGAGGTACTCGGGCTCTTCGGCGATGTGGGCTTCCCCTTCTGGTACTTCATGCTTAAGGGGCCGTCCTTGATCTTCTTCTGAACCTCGGCTGCCCGCTCGGAATGGGCCCACCTGGTATGGCATGCTCGGCACACTATGTACGAGCTCGAACCATTTCCGCCCCCTTTGAGACTGGACTTGGGATGCACGCAAGAACTGGCGGAAGTCGTAGGCGCATTCTTGCTCTGGAGGGGTTTCAGCACTTGTGCATGCATGATCACCTCCGAGTAGTAGTCCGCGATTGTCTCCAAAGACTTGCGCCCCGGCCGCTGCGAGTCCAAGTCCAAGCACCAGGCCTCTGTGATGTCCTGGAGGGCGGCGAGAACCAGCAAGATGCCGATCTTGTCCATGAGGATTCGCCAGTTTTTGAGCGGGATACGAGAGTTGTATACCCGCGGCCCGACTTCCATCGGCACTGGGTCCGTGGAAGGAGTAGCGCCCACCAATGCTTTGGCTTTCTTCAGCAGCGACGCCATGTGGTGGTGATGGGCGAGAGGCGTCTCCGGGCCGATCGAATTGAGCACCGGCGAAAAGTGATTGAGCCGGCATTGCTGTGGTGGCAAAACAAAGTGATTCCATCTCTTGCGTACCGGCTTCCGGAGGAACCAAAAACTTGCCCTCTGCGAACGACATGACGTTGACGGCGACATGACCGCTTGCGAGTTCACGAAGTGGTAGAAAAACCTGATGTGAGGGGACCTGCATGACCATGTTCTTCAAATCGATGACCGCCTCCAATGCCCTGAGAAGTTTTACCGGAAGCAGAAACGGGACGTCTCCCTGCACTACGGTGGTCTCCAAAACACCATTGATGCCTCCAAGCCCCAAAGGAATCAATGCAACCCCTTCGACCACCGCGTTGCCTCCTACCCCCTTTGCAAATGACTGCTTGGGAATCCACTTGATTCGCAAACCACGACCGGCGAGTTCCCGTTTGAGACGATGAAGAGACTCCTTCCCGATCAAACCACCCTCAGCTGCCGTGTCCACTATCCCCTCAATCGCTTGGGTGGTGACGCCACAAAAATTCACCTTTCCCTCCTTGACCATACATGCCCGCTCCATGTATCGCTTCGAAGGGTTGGCTCCATTGTTGAACTCCGTCGAGGTCTCTTGTCGAGCTCGACTCTCCTTCACAAACTGTCGCAACCAAAAATCGTGCTGCGACGTGGAGAAACTATCGCTCTCAGATCGTAGTCCCACGTAGAAGGTGCGGCTCTCTCCTTTCCCGGCTTGGCTCGCTGGTGGATTTTGGCATTCTCTTTCCCAGTGCCCCACTTGCAAGCACTTCCTGCACCTGGTGCGCAACTTGAGCTGCTCGATGTGAACACGGCGTTTGCCCTTGTCTTTGCCTTTCTGGAAGGCGTTGATCTTGCCTTTGCCTTTCCCTGGGAAGAAGCCTCGTCCCAGCCGTTGATCTTTGAGTGCCTGACGGGTGTCATTGTAGGAGGCTAAGGCATTCATCACGTCTTGTTCATCCATGACCTCATCAAGGTCCCCATCGGCCAGGAAGACGTAGTTCTCATCGTCATCCTCCCAGGCCGCGACGCCATCGCCGTCCGCTTCGTAGTGGATGCCGGAGGACCCCTCAAGGACATAGCTCTCTTCAGTGACATAGTTTCCCTTGGCCTTGTCCTTCTCCTTAATGACCTTGTCCAACCTCCTCAAGGCCTTCGTGATCTCGCCACGGCCATATTGGCCTTCGGCCCAGGTCAGCAGCCGCTAGTCCTGGGCTTCCGTCAGGGAGGCCTGTCGGTACAGTATGTACCCTTTTGCCCCGTCGGGCAAGTCGACGCCCTCCTTGGCGAGGTTGATGAAGGCCCGTTCCATCCTCTTCGTGTACTCGGCGAAGGACCCCTTGTTGCCTCGAGGCGGTCCGTAGACCGCGACTTCAAATGCCCTTGGCAATGAAACCTCAAGGTGTGGCAGAAAGTAGTCACGGAGCTTGCCGAGGATGTTCTTGACTCCCTGCTCACTGGCAATCTCCGAGATCTCCATGTCGTCCACGGCCGTCATGGCCACACCTGAGAGCTGGCGAAGCAACTTGATGCCTCGCTTTGGTTTTGGCACCTCAGTTTCGAACTCCCACAAGGCCACCTGCTTCTCGTACTGGCGGAACGTAACCTCCGGGTTCTCTCCGTCGTATGCAGGTGGTGGGTCTCGATCTCTCGGTGCCCCCTCCGTCCTCCCGGCATGCCCTCCGGTGCTAGCTGCAGCAAAGCCGCCTCCGGTCCGTCGGGGTTCATGTTCTTCCTCGCTCATGGTCGAGCCCTTGCCACCTGGATCCGCTCCACGAGGCTCCGCGGTACCACTGACAACAAGTCAGCCCGCGCACCACCTAAGCAGCTTTCTCCATCATGGCGGGCTAAATGCCACCTCGAGTGCGGTAGGAACTACGGCCCCTGTACATCGAGCCGGATAGGCGGTGTGGATTCGGGATCAACCATGGACATGTCAGGATACATGGATTCACAGATATATTAATTAAATCTTGTATTTATTCCGAAAATTGTATTTCGATATTTATAAAGTATTGTATTTATCACAAAATTTGTTCTTTTATGATTTGTTAAGTGTTGTATTTGCGAAAAAATTTCTATATCGAGGTTTATTAAGTCTTGCGTCCGCTATAAAATCTTCGAGATTCTTAAACTATTATGTATATTATGAAATTTGCATTTCGAGGTTTATTAAGTATTATAATTGCTACGAAATCTGCATGTCGAGATGATTTATTAAGTGTAGGATCTGTTACGAAATTTGTCTTTCTAGGTTTATTAAGTGTTGCACTTGTGACGAAATCTGCATTTCGAGATTTACCAAGTGTTGCGTTTATTACGAAATTTAAATTTCATGATATATTAATTAATTTTTATATCTATTCCGAAAATTGCATTTCGATATTTATAAAGTGTTGTATTTATCACAAAATTTGTTATTTTATTATTTGTTAAGTGTTGTATTTGCGATAAAATTTCTATGTCGAGGTTTATTAAGTATTGCGTCCGCTATAAAATCTTCGAGATTCCTAAAGTATTATATGTATTACGAAATTTGCATTTCGAGGTTTATTAAGTGTTATGCCTGTTACGAAATCTGCATTTCGAGATTTTTTATTAAGTGTAGGATCTGCAACGAAATTTGTATTTCCAGGATTATTAAATATTGTGTTTGGGACGAAATCTGCATTTCGAGATTTACCAAGTATTGCGTTTATTACGAAAGTTAAATTTCATGATATATTAATTAAATTCTATTTTTATTCCGAAAATTGCATTTCGATATTTATAAAGTGTTGTATTTATCACAAAATTTGTTATTTTACGATTTGTTAAGTGTTGTATTTGCGGTAAAATTTCTATATCGAGGTTTATTAAGTATTGCGTCCGCTATAAAATCTTCGAGATTCCTAAAGTATTATATGTATTACGAAATTTGTATATCGAGATTTATTAAGTGTTATGCCTGCTACGAAATCTGTATTTCGAGATTCATTATATTTTGTGTTTATTACGAAAATTAGATTTTAAGCGGCATTATACATTCTATTTGGGACGAAATGTGCATTTCGAAATCTATTATATAAATATTGCGTCTGCTACGAAATTTGCATTTCGAGGTTTTTTTTAAGTGTAGCATTTGCTACGAAATTTGGTTAAGTGTTGCATTTGTGACGAAATCTGCATTTCGAGATTTATCAAGTGTTGCATTTATAACGAAATTTAAATTTCATAATATATTAACTAAATCTTGTATTTATTCCGAAAATTGCATTTCGATATTTATAAAGTGTTGTATTTAT